AAATTCGCTTGCCTCTTGGGTTCCCGGAATCCGCTCATTTTCCTTTTTCCCCCCTCCCCTTCCCTTCCTCCTCCCCTCTCCCCCATGCACCCTTAATAATTTATAAATTATGATTGTAAGTTTGTATTTTATAATAAAGACTATAAGAAGCCATTGTTTTGGGGGGAGGAGGGATAGTATCCGGTTTGCCTCTAAGAAGCCCTCTTTGGTGACCGTGGGCCGCTGGGTCCAGAGTGAACTGGTGAGCTGATGTGGGTGGGAGGTCCTTGCAGCAGTGAGAGGTGAGAGTGACAGCAGTGAGGCTGGAAAGCAGTGAGGAGACTCGGGGGATGAGCCTGCCGCTGGGACAGGAGGTGGGAGGCTACGAGGCTTTTGCTGACAAGAAAGAGAAGAACCTTCAGACACCCACGTTTGAAACATGGCCAAAGATCTAATTTCAGGATAAATGAAAACTAAAATATCAGTACAGTCCCTCCCCGACTAGAGTAATTCTGGTCTGCTTGCTGTCTCACCTCGAGCTCCAGCTATCCTATAGTTGCTCTGGACCAAGGTGCCCTACCTGCACGGAGTTATGGGAGCCACAAACTGCTTTCCAAGCTTTGCACCCTGGTCTGCTTCTGCCCAAAGAAATGGACTCTTTCAGCCAAGTGCCATAGCAGAGGCCACCACTAGGTCTGGGCCCCTGGAAGGTACTTGCCCCCTTGGTCTTTTTCTGGAACATTCTTCCATCTGAGAAAAAGTATCCACCTACCATTTTGTGACGCACTTACCAGGTATAGAAACTGAAGTGGGGATTTTACATTGTCCAGCCCTTTGTTCCTGGTGAGTTTCCTTAATGAGCTCCATTAGAGATGTTGTGTCTTTCGACATTCTTATGGGAACTTTGCTCTGGGCTATGTTGGCAAAATCAGGGAACGCATAACTAAAAGATCCTGATCATTATTGAGCAACTTTTGTGGGCCCGCTTCTGTGCTGACTGCCTCACCGACATTATATTATGAAACCCTTATAGTACCCCTTCCTTGCAGATAGACACTATTAAAGTCTTATGGTCATATCATCCACATATATAACTCAATATTTAAATTATAATGAGAGTTGTACAGTCATCATCACAATCCATTTTAGAACATTTTCTTCTCATACTCATTATTAGTTCCCCATTGCCCCCAGCCTCCTCTGCCCTACCCCCAAGAAACCATTATCTAGTTCGTCTTTATAGCTCTATCTATCCTGGATTTCATATACAGAAAGCGTACCAAAGCAAGCAAACAAAGCCAACAATAACCTCAATTGAAAAGCCAGCGGAAATACTGAAAACTAGGATAAATAAAGTGAAAAAGAAAATGAGTTGGAAAGGAGATGACTGTGTGACGGCGGGACTGCTGACCTCCCTCCGCGGTGGTCAGAGGGAATTCACTGGAGGCTTCCTCCCCGGGTGGATCCTCCACATGCATTTGGGCGTCCATTGTCATCCCGAGCCGTCTGGCACCAGGTATTCATCATGGAAGCTCTGGTACCATGCCCTCCTTTGGGTTTGGGTCTTCATCTTTACAACCCTGGGCTCTCAAACGCTGGCATTCTCCTGTGTGGCTACTTTCTTGAAGAGGTCTTTAAAACCCGAGGCACTAGTCGCTGAGAGCCCGCCGTCATCTCGTTCGTGTCTTAGCCACATCTTGCTCCACCCCATGTCGTCAGTGATCTCGTCGTGGCGGCAAGCAGCAAGCAGGGTCGTGTCATAGAACTAATTGTTCTTAGCTTGGGACTAGAATTAAGTGCCAGCTCCCAATCCACTCACCTATCCATGGTTTATACAAGTCTCTGATTCACCTTGGAGGCAGCATTGTCATGTTAGAGAACATTAATAACATTATTATTAATCATTCCCCTTGGGTAGACACTGCTTTTATGCCTGATTTTACAGATGAGGATGTTCAAACTACGAGGGTTTAAATGACGTACCTGGGGTGGCGCAGTGCAGGCGGTCCTCAGTCAAGGGTACTGGCTCCCACCGCTCTCCTTTCCAGTCTGCACTTTCTTCCTTGCTCTTCACCCTTCGCTCCCGATCTTTCAGGTCGATGGGAAATTGCTGTGTTGGCTCTGCACGCTTTCTTACAAACGGGTTCTTCAGAAGACCAAAGAGCAGAGGAAGCACCTGAGCAGCTCTTCCCGTGCTGGCCACCAGGAGAAGGAGCAGTATAGCCGACTGAGTGGTGGTGGCCTTTACAACAGGTAACCCCGAGGTGCAGTGGACAAGACCAGAGGTGCTGACAGGTCAGATCTGCGTGCCACTCTCTCAGTCAGGCACGGAGAGTGCCATTTTGTATATATTACCTGTTCTCCTCTTTAGTTACAGATTTGCCATTTTATCATTTTTCTATTTTTAAAGAGCCAGAGAGACTCTTGACTGTGTGTTGTGTCTGAAAGACTTAAGGAACTTGTTCTATTTTCCTCACCCAAAGTGTATTATCTCCTTAGAAGATGGGGCCTTCTGAGGCACCACCAGGTTTTTCAATGCTTATTTGGCCAGAGAGGTTCATAGACACACTAAGTTTGTCTGTGGGAACTAATTGAAAAGCTGTCTTGACATGGCCTTCCAGAGGGTCTGCACTACTGTGAAGCATGCTGGGTCTAGATTGAGTCCTATCTCTGGTGAAGTCTTTGTGTGGCTTCATGGACAAATTTTGTCGTCTGTAAAACGGGTTGTTGTGAAGGTAAATTACTTAGGACAGTCTTGACTGCATAACATCCATCCAGGCAACATCTGCTCATTTAATTCATCAGTGGCCACATAAGGTTATAATAATGGAATGTAACAAACACAGCAGCTTCTCCCACACAGCACATGTATCTCTTGTCTCTTGTGTACCAAGTGAATGTGCTATGTCAGGCATAAAATGGTATAGTACCTATAGAGCCTATAATACATATGTCTTGATAGTCATAATACATACCCATGTTCCTGACTACGTCTGTCCCATATGTTTACCTAAGAGAGTGTACACAGTTCTCTACTAGCTAGCAGTCTGTCTATCCTCTAACAGCGCATACTTAGAAGCAGCAGCATGCAGTCTCATGGATCATGCAGCTCCTGAGCATGTGGCAGTCTCTGTTTAATCTTCTTTCACAGATCACCATGGCGTGCTCCATGGATCCCAAAGGCAGCAAACCCAGGGCTATTGATAGCAGCAGCAAGGGACGAAGGAGGAAGCGATTGGGAAGTGAAGTCAAAGGTTATAATAAACGGCAGGACGATGGAAAACTAGTGAATGGTGTTATTGTCAATTTGGACATGTCTCACGCCACACTCGTGAGGAGCTGCGAAAGCAAAGGAAACCTCACGAAGAGTTGAAAGGATAGACTCCCTGACAGCTCCAAGGCGAATGAAATTGCCGGGCCGTTCCAGATTCGGAGATGGTGCTGACGGCGTGTTAGCCAAACCCTACCTGAGCCCTTCTCAGCACATTGACTATTGCCGCTCAGGCACAAAGCGTGCTCTGTTGCACAACCAGACTATGATGCGCTGTTCACACAGAGTCCAAATCATACAGCATCCTGTTGCACAGAACATACCATGGACATTAAATGGTGCATGACTGTACCATTTTACACACGCACACCATACATAGTATAACCTAGGAAGCATTCACTGCATTCCAATCTTTATTTAATTGGTTTTATGATTTTATTCATTCTAGAAGCGTTGCTGAGTGCCCTCCTGTCTGGGCACTCTGCCAGAAATGAATAGAAGAGTGAAACAGCCAGGACCGTGCAATCTAGTGGGGAAGACAGACTTGCCATCCTGGTCAGTCATCGCCTTATATTTCAGTGAGCACCACAGTGGAAATAGTCAAGATAAGGGCATGGGAGACAGCAGTAATTAACTGCCATGGGAAGGTAGGCGAGGAGAGGGGCTGACAGCAGAACTGGCTCTGAGGAGGAGCCAGAGTCATCAGCTAAGGAACAGGCCACGGGAGGCCACACAGAGCCTTGGAGAACTGGATATCCTTTTGTGTTTCTGGAGCTGATGGGTGGGAGCTGGGGAATGGCAGGAAATGGCATCCTGAAGACCAGGCGACGAGGAGGAGGAGCTTGGTCCCAAGGTCAGTGGGAAGCCACTGAGAGGATGTGCAGAAGGACCACATCTCTGTTAAGGAGTTCATTAATGCTGACTAGGGTGGAGGAGAGGAGACTTTCTGCTCCTGTAAATACTCCTGTAGACAGTCTCGGAAACTGATGGGCAGTCCACCCTGCCCTAGAGTCGCTAGGAGTGAGCATGGACTCGGTGGCAGTGAGTCCGGTTGGGTCTGAGCGTGGAGAGTGCGTTGCAGGGGGTGGGGGCGGGACTGGGGGCTAGTTCAAAAGCTTTCGTAAGGGTCTCGTTAAGACACAGAACCTCAGCTGAGGCAGCGATGATGACGAGAAGAGCAGGAGTATGTTTTAGAGGGAGGATTATGAGGAATATATCATCTGGTGAACAGCTAGATAGGCCAGAATTGGGTGAATGAAGGATAATTCCCAGGTTTTTTCTTAGAAAATGGATAGAATCATAACAAAGATTGAGGAAGAGTCTTTCAGTAGGGAGTTAGCCTAGGAGAGAATTGTGCTGGAGCAAGAGAATGGGCAAAGTTATCAGAAACGTGGACCGTCGATAACATGTAAGAATCACTGGAAGTAGACATTACTTTAAAATAGATGCCTGAGGCCCCAGCTCAAACTTAGTTTAGTACCATCTAGGATGGAATGTCAGGGTCCTTGGTCTCATAGTGGTTACATGTTGGGCTGTCATCTGCATGGTCGACAGTTCAAAGTCCCAGCCGCTCCACAGGAGAAAGACTTTCTTCTCGTGTGAACAGTGACAGTCTTGGAAACTCCCGGGGCAGTTCTCTGTCCTCTAGGGTCGCTGTGCGTCAGCACCAACACAATAGCAGTGAGTCTTGAGGGGGAGTGAGGGTAGAATGGTGAAGAGTAAGGGTGTCACTTTGAGGACTTAAGTGCACCTGACCCAAGCCGGGATCTTGTCACTGGATACGCCTGTGAAAGGTGAGCATTACGGAGAACCAAACAGGAATCGATGTATTTGAACTATGGTGTTGATAAAGAATATTGCATGTGCCAGAGACTGCCAGCAGACCAAACAGATCTCTCAGAATAACGCTCCTTTGAAGCCAGGATGATGAGACTTGGTCACACTCATTTTGGATTTGCTGTCAGGATAGATCAGTCCTGCAAAGGGACATCATTTTTGGTAGAGGGGCAGCGAAAAGAGGAGGACCCTTGGCAAGGTGGATTGACACAGTGGCTGCAGTAGTGGGCTCAAGCCTACGAACCGTTGAGGCACGGGGCCAGGTAGTGCTGTGTTCTGTTGTGCATAGGGTCACTGTAAGCTGTAACCAGCCTGCTGACACCTAACAACAGTAGGTTAGAGTTCAGGAATTTGCCTTGTGTACACATCCGACATGATTTGATGCAGGTGATCTAGGTTACACATTTCCCACCACTGTGATGGGTAGTTGTTAAAACTATGCTCTTGGATGATATCTTAGCTGGAGACTGGAGAAAACAACTGGAATGCACTCAATAAGGTGATGGACAGAGTCTAAGAAGCTGTAATCTCTGAAGTAAGAGGATGACTGTGTCAGTCCGGGTAGACTAGAGAAACAAATCCATAGACACTCATATGTATATAAGAAAGAGGTTTATATACAAGAGCAATTGAATATTGAGAAAACGTGCCAGCCTAGTCCACATCAAGTCCATAAGTCCAATGTTAGCCCATATGTCTGATACCAATCTATAAAGTCCTCTTCAGACTCATGAAATACACGCAAAGATGCTGAATGCAGGAGCATCACAGACCAGTGGGTTGGAAGTCTTGTGGATCCAGTGGCTTTGTAAGCATCTCAGCGCTGACTGGGGTCTCTTTATGTGGCTTCTCTGGCCAGAGGTCTGGTTGCATCAGGGTAGGTCCATATGGCTTCTCCAGCTCCCGGGGCATAGTGCCATGTCTTGTCAGTAGAGCATCTCCAAGGGAGTGAGCCAAGAGAGAGAAGGAATCAGTCTCCCAAGTCCAAGGAGGAAATTACAGGAGTTCCCAGAATTCTCAGGAGAAGGCCATGCTCACAAAGAGGCTTCATTGGCTATGACCTGATTGACACACTAGACTCCACCCCCTCACTCTGAATCCTCTCAAGCCCCAAATTGACACCAGATTATGTAACCATTACAGTGACCAAAAGGAGAAAGTTTCAAGAAGGATGGTCAGTGGTATCAATATTGGTCAGTGGTATCAATATTGAAGAGAGATCTAGCAAGAAAAGTATCCTTTGGGTTTGGCGATTGATTGTCTAAAGTGGTGGTTCCCAACCTGTGGGTTGCAACCCACAGGGGGTCGCCTAAGACCATCGGAAAACATATTTCCGATGATCTTAGGAACCAAGACACCACTCCTCTATATGTCTCCAGGCAGGTCCGCCCACATGCAGATATACTGATCTGGTGAGAAAGAGGCTATCTCAACTTTACTACTGATGTTGGCTTTTTACGCATACTGTCGCAAAATGTAGCAATGTAGTTTACTGTTATATTAAGACTGTTACCCATGCTAGACCATGCTTCAAGAGAAAATTTCGTTTATTTGTAATTAGAAGCAAAATATTTCACAATATGTAATTACATATTGTTTTTGTGATTAATCACTATTCTTTAATTATGTTCAATTCGTAACAATGAAAATACATCCTGCATATCAGATGTTTATATTACGATTCATAACAGTAGCAAATGACAATTATGAAGTAGCAATGAAAATAATTTTATGGTTGGGGGTCAGCACACCATGAGGAACTGTATTAAAGGGTCGAGGCATTAGGAAGGTTGAGAACCACTGGTCTAAAGCATCCTCTGGAGTTGACAATTGGACAACCATCAAAGTTTGGGGGTGGCAGCCCACGGGTAGACTTTCAGTTTTTGATTCTGGATCAGTTTGGGGTTTTTTTGGTGAACTTATTGGGGATGAAGCTGATTTGAAAATCTTGTGGGACTCAGATTACCAGCAGGTTGACAAAACATTGCACTGAATTAGGACTTCAACTACATTGGCCCGATTTCTCGTGCAAGCCTCTCTACTCATCAGCTGTCTGTCCTTGGGTAGGCCAGTTCACCTTGAGGAGCCTCAGGTTGTTTTAAAAGTAGACGTATACCTCACAGGATTACAAGATGCATACGAGACTGAGTGTAAAAGTGCTTTTTAAACTAAAACGTTTTATTTCCTACTGGATTGACTCAGTTCTTGTGGTTATTAATAAAGTCAGGCAACATTTAATTATGACCAAGCTTTAATTTTTTTTCTCTTCCTTTTGTCCTCTGGAAACTAGCAACTCATGAATCTAGGACTTAGAAATCTAGGACTTGATGGGTTTGAATGATCAAGAATGAAGAACTTGATAGAGGAACTGCTGTTACATTTGACCGACTTCCATTGGGCATTTGATTCTTTGGTTTCTCATGGGTGCCCTTCTCTTTTTGCTTTTCAAAGCCAGAAAACACTTTCTACATCATCAATCCAAAATGAAATCCCAAAGAAGAAGTCCAAGTTTGAGTCAGTCACAACCAATGGAGACAGGTAAGCCAAGTTGGAGGGAGGGAGGGTGAGTGAGTGAGCTGAGTCAGTCTGTATGCATGGGAACTAGTATGTGACGGTCAGCAAACCCCAGGGTGCTTATTCCAGCTATTTGATATCTAATAAGTATGACTAATTTTTGTGTATATGTCTCACATCATTGCTAAAAGGCAGTAACATAACTGGATTTAGTGGCAGTTGAATTCTGTAGTTCATGAAATAACTCACTCACACTGGTGTTAAGAAGTCAACAACTGGATGCTTTTTGCTGTGACCTGTTCGTGGCCTGCACCAGGTGGGAACAGGGGTCAGTCTCAGCAGGCAGGCAGTGTGAACTCAGTGTGAGGGTTAACCCAAGCGTCCCTCGCATTTTCTTAGAAAGACAGAACAGTGTAGATGCCGGATCAGAAAAGAACAAGATGCATTTAAATATTTTTATTTCATTGTAAGCTTGTCTAAATGCACATTTTTATTCCTCACTGTCCTCTCTCCTTCTCAGCGATGCTTCCTCTTACGAGCTGCTTTGTCCTAATATGCAGAGAGCCCCGTCCGGGTTGGTGCAGTGGGCTGCTTCCCAAGAGAGTCTTGGGGCCCACCATTTTCCTGTTCCTCCAGGCCCAGCCATGCTGAAGTGAGACCACCTGACATACTCTTCCCCAGAGTCCTTGGAATCGTCTCCCATCTGGAAGCTCCTTCATGATTCTCTCTCCCAGCCATTGGGGGACATGGGAGCAGACCCGCACATAGACTTTCAGGGCTGGCTTTGTTGATTTAGAGAAGTACAAAATGTCTGTGAAGTGTTTGCCTCTTTGCCATCGCCTTCTTCATTAGCTTGATTTCCGATTCTACGAGGTGCCTCCTTGACAACTGCTTTATCGATTTTAAACTTCTTGAATTGGGGAACTATCTTTCTGGTCAGTGTTACTATTTTCTGGCCAGTTGACCTGGCCAGTCTGGAGGAAGTAGATGGGGCACAAGCAAGCCCATCACCACTTCCAGGGTGTGTGAGCCTTTCTGAAGCCCTCCTTGAAATGCCTTGACTAAGATTTGGGACCTTATAGAGCCATCATTTCAGGTTTGTGGTTCTGTATGACTGAGAACGGTTCGAACCACCTGCAAAAGGCTCCTTCATAGCATTTAGGTGATTGCCCAGTCCTTAAAGGTTCCCTTCTGCTAGCTTATTTCATTCTTGAGATACTGCTGCCAGTCTTGCTTCCCCAGCTGCAGGTCTCGTAAGCTGAAAGTGCAGACTTCCTGGTCAGACTGCTTGGTAGCGTCTGGTCACCAGCAATGACGCCTGTGCTCAAGGAGGGTGCCGAGTCTTGGTGACTTAGCCATATGGTCTGGCATGCTGTCCTCTGAAAGAGATGCGATGACAATATCGTTTTCTGGAAATGGACATGCTGTTTCTCAAAAGTGATTTATTCTCTTAATTTGGAAACTGTTTTCCACTGCCACAGAAATGAGTTTCTTACGTATGCAAGCAAAGTGCCATGAGTTTTCCTGCAATTCTAACCGCCAGGCCACGTGGATGCAGTTGTGCTTATGAATTGTCATAGTGTGCAAACATTCTGACAATTTGTTGTTGTTGGATAACCATTTTTTGCGTGTGCCCTGCACATCAGAAAAAATGTTACTGACTGTTGTACTTTGACTTCTGTATAAAGTCAAAGTCTCGGTCTTGTTTCCAGGATTCCTGTAGTTGTAGCTGCCTCACAGTTTTTAATTAGTCTAATAATTTACTTTCCAGGCCTTGGAAAATAATGATATATTTTTTCACTTATATTTTAACTGCAATTTTTATTCCTTCATGTTTCTGCAATTTCCTTCTAGTATTTTTCCACTTACCTTGCTATATTACCCATTCTCCTCTCTCACGTGTTTCTGTTTTGGGGGGCACGGGATGCCCATTGGATGGCACGTAGCTGGGGGTTCAAATGGAATGCTAATGAAGAAAGTATTTTTAGAGGACCACTCTGTACAGGCATTATTCTAAGGCCTTTACAAGTTCTCTTTCACTTAATCCTCATAAGAACCCTATCTCTCACTAATTTCTTAATATTGAGGCATATCGGATTATTTTTGTTACTCCTCTTTATTTGCTAGCCTTCCCTGACATACAGGTAGAACACGTTATTTTAGCTTTCTGTAATGCTGGGACCCACAATCAGTGATCATGGAAGCAGCAGCAGTCAAGAGATCAAGAGATGTGTAGATCAAAAGACGGTCTATCTGTTGCACCAAACCTCTATAAAGTGATGAAAAGCACAGGTGTTACTTTGAGGACTAAGATCGCTTAGCCCAGTGGTTCTCAACCTTCCGAATGCCGCGACCCTTTCATACAGTTCCTCGTGGTGGTAACCCCCCAACCATCACATTATTTTTGTTGTGACTTCATAACTTTAATTTTGCTACTGTTATGAATCGGGCAACCCCTGTGAAAGGGTCGTTCGACCCACAAAGGGGTCGCGACACACAGGTTGAGACCCGTTGGCTTAGCCCAAGCCATGGTATTTTCAATCGCCTCATATGCATGTGTACGTTGGACACTGAGGAAGAAAGACTGACTAAGCATCCCTGTGTTTGAATTGTGCTGGAGAAGAATACTGAAAGTACCATGAAGTGCTAAAGGACAAAGAAATCTGTCTTGGAAGAAGGGCAGAGTGCTCCTTAGAGGCAAGGATGGCGATACTTTCAAGAGAAGGGCAGAGTTGGGCCTTTGGGGTCTAAGACACCCCTGAGCAGCCAGTGAAATCTATGAATCCTTACCCCCAGAAAGCACCCAGTGTACATATAATTTCATAGGTTCCCAGATGTCCTGGTCCCAGTTGGGAAATTCTACCTGAATCCTACCAAAGGCACGTAGGTGGAGTGCTCTGGGCACTCTGACAAAGTGGGGTGCTCACCACCCTCCTGAGGGATCTGTTGACAAGCCAGGCGGTGAGGTGACTGGAGTTTGCCAACTCTTTATTCCTTTCTGAACTATAGGGAGTTTTATATTGAAAAAGACAGACAGCAGGCAAACCGTAGTGTGGGACAAAAAGCTTCCTATTGGGCCTCCTCGTTTTGTAGCAGGCTGCTCCTGGGTGAAATGCAGGAGCTGCTCGGCAGCTGCACCAAATGCGCAGAGCCTTGAGCATAGAGAACACAGAGCCGAAGGGTTGGTTCTCTTTGGTAGCTGCGAGGAGAAATGTACAGGCTTAACCTGTATAATTCATCCGAAGTTAAGGGAAGTCATCTACTCACAAATGATGGTCATTCCATCGGTAAATCATGGAGGACCTTCCATGAACCTGGTAACGGAAGGAACATCCTCGACTCTCAAGATGCGATGGCGTGACATTTGTTTTAGTCCGGACTGTCAGGAATGCACGTGGCTTGTGGTTTGGGTTAGGCTTACCTACCTGACAAACCACTTTAGCAGTGTAGAGTCGTGGTGCTGGGGATTCTTGCAGTCCAGTGACCGAGGTGCGCCCTCAGGCGACAATGTACCCATCCGTGTTATGACTCCTCCCTGTGTCTCCCACCAGCTTCTCCCCAGACCTGGCTCTGGATTCGCCAGGCACGGACCATTTTGTCGTCATTGCCCAGCTGAAGGAAGAAGTGGCCACGCTGAAGAAGATGCTGCATCAAAAGGATCAAATGATTTTAGAGAAAGAGAAGAAGGTACGGTTTGTTAGCGCACCTGAGGCCAGAGTGCTGCGAGGAAAAGATGTGTGGTGGAGCACAGTGGATCTCTTTTCACTGAACCTTGGTGGGTGCCTGCCGTGCATGTTTGCGCAGAGGTCCCGTGAGCACACTGGGATGCTCTGGGGAGAGGCTCGAGCTGTCTGCTAAGATGACGCCCGGGTGGTCATTCCCTTGGTGAATCCTTTTCCGTCAACTTGTTCAGAAAGTGAGCTCTCCTTAGCATTTGGAGGGATTTCCCACGTCTCGGGGGATTCGTGTTGACCAAGCGTACGCAGCCAGAGTAGGGGGCGTAACCGTGCTAATCCCAGTGTGGACTGCCGAGAAAACCAGGTTGTCACCAGAAGGTAGCTAAATGAGCATGGAGTCCAGTGTAAGAAGTAGTTGTGTAACTGGAATGTTCAGTGCTCTCTGGCTAGGAAAATCTGATGTCTCCATTCCTATTACTGGGGTGGCTGCGACCGTGGGACAGTCATATTGAAAGTATGTAGACCAGCTCTCCCTCCTCCCAGGACGTTGCTCAGGTGGGCCCTCCTCCATGACTCTTCTGTCACAAGCTGTCATTACTGACAGTTCCCTTCCTTTGTAAGCATGTGCATCAGTACATCAGTACCGTTGTACTCTTGTCTGAGAAACATTCTCATCAAGGAACTTCTTATATTTTCGTTCTGATTCATGGCTAGGGGTTACCGTATATACTTGAGTGTAAGCCAACCCGAGTATTAGCCATGGGACCTAATTTTACCACAAAAACTGCAATATTAATGTGTTGAAAAACTCAGCTTGTACACAAGCATATATGGTATCTTGTTTGCAGGCTCTCCGAGAATATCTCGTTTTTGCCTTAGTATATTAGTTTCAATAACAATCAGTGAACTTTCATTAGACATTCACTTCTTGCTTGGCACTATTCTAAGTTCTTTATTCGTATTAACAAATTTATTCTCACAACAGCCCTTTGAGGCAGGAATTGTGATCACCATGTCATACGTAGGTTACGAATTGCCCCAGTGATTTTTCTACTAGGGTTTCAATTCCCTGCCCGGCTCTGTTTTCCCCCCGCAAAGCTGTATGTTCATTTGTACCAAGGTTGGAATGCTAAAATTCATTCTGTGTGTTAGAAAGCTTAACATGCATTTTCCCCCATATACTTTCTGCCTTATTTTACAAGTAAGGAAACGGGCTAAATAAGGTGTCCAGTTCCCTCTGCTCGTAACTGGCAGAACCAAGGAACGGAGCCACATCTTGGGCTTCCTCCTGCCAGTAAGGTGAGCGTCTCCGGGCAGAGCCCCACGTTCTGTTCACTGTGCTACACGACTCAGGCCCCCAGTCTAGTCTCTTCATGGACTGGATGATAACGGCACGGCCAAGAAGGTCTGCGAAAGAGAGCCAGCACTTGTGTTTTGCAAAGCTGCAGCTTCAAAAGGAGCAAAGGCAAATGGGTGTTTACCCCCAGCTTCCTGGGTCAAGGCCTTCGGACCTTTCGTGGGACACAGGCTCTCCTGTACCAGGCCTGCCTCTCGCCTCATCTTCTGCCACTCCACACTCGGTCAAACTATCTCGGCCCATACCCTCTCTTTGCTTCGATGCTCGCCTTACTTCGTGTGGCCAGTTGCTACTTGGACCTCAGAACTCCACTTAAACATCACCCCTCTGATTTCGATGTCCTCCCCTGTGCTCCTTTAAAGCACCGTCCGCAGGAGGTGGCCTGGGGTTGACCGCCAGCTCTGCCTCGTGCTAATGCTCTGTATGATGTTGGCCCCAGTACTTAGGACTCTCGCAACTCAGTCTTCTCATCCGTCAATGGGGAAGACAGTGGTACCCCCAGGGGTACCATGAGGATTGGATGAAATATGTATAATATATATATATATATCAATACATAATCAAAGCTGTTTGTCTGGCATGTGGGCAGTTTCGTAGGGAGCAGCAGCCCTCACTCAGCGGCATCTTGCACGCACAGACTGCTAGAATGCTGATTGGTTCACAGGGAGTGTAGGGTTGCAAGGAGGCAGGAGTGACTGGCCTTTGAGTTCTGCATTATAACAGGTTCTCGCTGCCACCTATTACGTACGTGACGTCTTTAAAAACTTGGTAATGGCTGTTGAATATTAGAAATGCTGCATCAGGACTTTGTGTACTCTTCGGGAAATCTCTAGAAGAAGGTATGGGACTGCTCTGGCTGTGCTCTAGAGAGCTAGAAAAGAAGCTGGGATTTCCTTGATTTGGTGAGGACACATTTAGCGCTCAGATTTCAAAGCACTTTTCATTGCACAGGGATTTCTCTGGTCGCTCTTTCGATCCCTCAGATTACCGAGTTGAAGGCTGACTTCCAGTACCAGGAGTCTCAGATGAGAGCCAAAATGAACCAGATGGAGAAGACCCACAAAGAAGTTACAGAGCAACTGCAGGTGACTGTTTATTTTTATGTGCTAACTCTTAGGACCTAACTGATTGCATGCTAAATGGATATCTTGTAGATTCTTCCCCTTTCCCCCTGAGTACTGACAGATCATATCAATCTAAACTGTTCAAAAACAAGACGAACTCACTGCCGTGGAGTTGATGCTGACTCCTAGCACAGCCCTATAGGACAGGGTAGAACCGCCCCGTTGAGGCTCCCCAGGCTGTCACTGTGGACGGGGCTAGAAAGCCTTGTCCCCCTCCTGCAGACCAGCTCGTGGTTCAAACTGCTGGCTTTTTGGGTCGCAGCCAAATGTGTGACCATGAGGCCAGGACTCCTCATGGGTTACTTTAATTGGCTCACTTTTGGATGTTTTCTGATAAATGTGTTCTTTGATTTTTGTATAAACCAGATGTGAGCCCAGCTGTCTGTGAGTTATACATTCCGTTTATCCAGCACACTGAGGCATCCATGGCTGGCTGGTGCTACAGAAAGCATCCTTTTGTCATTTTGAGTCTCAAAAGATTGACAAATACTGGTTAACGTCCAGTAAACTTTTGGGCGGGGGGGATCCTTTTCTTGAAACAAGCAAGTGGCAAGCAGTTTTGTTTTGCCGACTTCTAGAAATGTGGCCATCCCGTCCTAAACGTCTGTGGGATCTGCTCTCACTTCTCACTTGTTCTGCATGAACACTCTGTCCAACGCTCTTAAAACCTCCTTCCTGCATTGATGTTGTAGGCCAAAAACCGAGAACTTCTGAAGCAGGCCGCTACCTTGTCCAAGAGCAAGAAGTCTGAGAAATTGGGAGCTATAACTTCTCCGTGAGAGACCACCAGGTGGCTCTCCAGCAGCAGCAGCAGCAGCAGCAGACGGTGTGCTGGGCTCCCGGTGGACGAGCCCACTGGTCTCTGGGAATTGCAAGCTTTCTTATGAAATCTCTATTTTTTTACTTTGTCTTTGTGCGATTGCAGCGGAAGGGCTGAGTGGAGACACCTGGTTTGTGCTGTGTGTGGACTGCATGATCAAGTGTGGGGGATGTAAAGCTCTCCTTTCTCTCTTCCCCTCTCTTGGGTACTGCTCTTTGTTTCTTTGTTTTGTTTTTGTGGTGATCACTGCTCAGTGTTATGTGCAGAACAACTTCCCCCATCATTGTATCCTGCCATACCCGTGAGCAAATACTTTGGCATTAATTACATATCACTGCCACCCTCTGAACTTCTGAAACTGCCAATTGAAGACTTGGTAAAGTGGAAGAGGCCTGGCCTCTCCAGTAGACCTTTTGCTTCAGGGTATACTCTTGGTTTTCTACCCCAGGTATATTATGTATGAACTTTGTACTATGTATAGCAGAGTTTTATTTATTTTTTAAAAAGAAAACCTTTTCTTGATAAGGAATAATGGTAGTCTAGCTAATTCTTCTGTAAAAGCGATGCCTCTTGAAGAAACCGTCCTGCTCGCCAGCTCGTCATGAGAATCAGACCTTTTCTTTCTTGTTTCCTTGGAGTCTTAAAAACGGATTGCTAAGGTGGAACAATTCCGTGCTTATGTCTGAAGTTAAGTGCCTTGGGAGGCTCTCTTGGAAGAGCATTGAAGGAGGTATTTCAGGGAGGTAGCACTGATTTGAACAGTCTGTCTTTGGAAGTGAGGGCAGAAAGGAAGGCTGTCCAGGTTGTACTGGACACTCCCCAACCCCTTTCCTGATTATTTTATGCGATTGATGTTAAATTCTCACACTGCCACTTTCCTTAGAACAAAAGACTAGCTGATAGTGCTTACGTTACTGGACAATTGACTGAGAACTTTTTTTAAATCTGAGCAGACTATTTTAACTGTAGAGCATGTTGGGGTCAAGATGAGCTGCTCAGTGTGGACTCTTGAGTAAATCTGATGCAGAAAACTGCCAACACTTTATCTTCTCCCCGTGCCCATCCCCCCCAAACCGCACACTTCCTGCTTTTCATGGAAAGTACTGACACCAGAGGCTTCTCAGGAACAGGCTGGCTTCGGCCAGGAGGATGTGTGCCCGACTCTCCTTCTTGCCTGTTGTCAACAAGGCCCGTGAATTTGCTTGTCCAGAAGAGAGGGTAGGTTTGCATTTCTAGGCAAACCCTCGGGTCCTCAATGTGAGGTTGGTGAAAGAATTGGCCCAACAAACCACAAAATCAACTGCCTTGGAATCATTAACTGGCGTGGTGGTGGTGGAGGTGGTACTCGAGCTAAAAGTAATCATGGAGGCAGATAACTTGTACCTCAGCCTACCAAATTGGAGCAGTTTAACTTGCTCAGCATTTCCTAGAACCAGCCTTTCTGATACCATCTTAACAAGTTGGAAACCGTGGGCAGCGATGTGGAAATGGATGGCTTCCTTTTGATAGGAGGAACAATGGACCACGTTGCTTTTCTGTCACCCTGGTAAGGAAGGTAAAGTTACCCCCAAGCTAGGGAAACTGAGTGCGAAATCATTTTGTAACCTTTTGAATGAGAAACTTTTAAGTAACGATCAATGTCAGATAATATTTTCCAGATGTGCTTTTGAGTCTGGGGAAAAGATTGTGAAAAATCATAGTCATGTCTTTTGTTTTTTAATTTGAAAGCCTGAGAAATTCTGTTACATGAAATAAGACAATATAAACATACTTAGTTTTCTAATTTGTGTTTTTTACCATTCGGTCATTCAATATAAAGAAAACTCACACATTTTCTAACTTTCCATAAGTTCCAAAAAGGGAAAGAAGAGCCCTTAGTCGTGAAATTTTGGGTTCTAAAAATTATGACACTGTTTTATCATGAAACCGAGTGTAACTTTTGGTAACACCTTTTGTTTCTTTGTATGTTTGTAATGACATTTTAAAATGCAGAAATGTTTTGCTTTGTACAGACTTTGACAAATAAATGTGTGTTAATAAAAATTCTTATTGGCTCAAATGTGATTGTTGGATTTCTTTTTCATTCTTCTTTGCTTGTTTACCAATAAGCATTTCCTCTTATTCTCTTCAACTTGGAAAATAGTTTGTCTTATCTGTAGACTTTAACAAATTTGAAAGGCTAACTGTACTAGTGTAGAGTTTCATATTCAGAAAGGAATACATATTCAGAAAAGAGTCCCTAATTGACTTAAAAGTGTTTGCTCTGTGATAGGGATTGTGCTCAGTAATGGGCTAGAAATTGGGATGGTGAGATTTCCTCTTGCTTAATTTGGACATGTTGTCACTCAAAAATGTGTTTCCACTCAGTTAATTCTGACTCATATCAAGCTTGTAGGACCAGGTAGAACTGCCCCTGGCGATTTTTGAGACTATAAAGCTTTATAGGACCAGAAAGCTTTTTATCTTTTCCCCCTGAAGTAGCTGGGGGTTCAAACTGCTGACCTTACAATTAGCTGTCCAACTTGAAACCCATTACATATCAGGCCACCTTAATGGGGATAGAGTAGGGAACAAAATGCACAAAGCCAGCCTTCAAACCGGTTCCTTTTGTCTTGATCCCCTGCTGGGAACTGTCCTTTCCACCCTAGATAAACTGGGTGAGAATCCGCATTTTAACAAGCTCCTGGAAATGATAGCTAAGAATCACTTGGGCATCTAAGACTCACCTCGGGATCTTCTCATGGAGCTACTGCTCTGCTGAAGCTTCCGTTTCGTGAAATCTTAGGCAACACTATTCCTTGGTTTTATATTTATCATTATCCAGAAAGTATAAGGTAGATCTTACTAATTTATGACTTTGGGCTCTGAGGTGGCATTTCAAAAGGAGGAGGGGAATATATTAATATATAAGCCTTGGGCTAGTAGATTTTACTGCTGTCAGTTTGTCATACTGTGTTGTCTGGTAAAGCCTCAAGTTTCAGTCTTGAAGGATACTATGGCAAAATTTTGAATGATGCAGGAAGCATCAAAAGATCTTGAAGGATACGATGGCAAAATTTTGAATGATGCAGGAAGCATCAAAAGATAGTGGAAAGAATACAGTCATTGTACCAAAAGGGGTTCCTTTTGACATTCAACGGTTTGCTCATATGATCAAGAACCATTGATACTGATAGAAGTCCAAGTTGCACTGATGGCATTGGCAAAATCAAGTGAAGAGAGTGTATGCAGACAAATTCTCTAAACTCATATTTAAGAGTCCTGGGAGGCCAGGGTTCTCATGGAGGGAGCCCTTCATGTTCATGGGGTGGAGATACGTCCCAGTCACATTCTCCTAAGTAATAGTTCTCCACAATGTCCCCCGTAATAATGCCAATTCTTAGGTACTGCTTGCTAGCACATGGTGGTTACTATGTACTCTTGAAGGCCATCTGCCTAAAGGTTATCTGCAGTCAGAGCATCTAACCCTAAGTAAGGCACACTCCCTTCTGATAAGGATCATAGATTGTTCCCCTGGAGAAGAGCTCAGGGCAGTTAGGTCAAACCAGCGAGAGGACGAAGGTTAGGCAGCTTACTCTAGAGCCCCTCTTGTTAGTAGGTACCTCCCTGTCATATGTATGCCTCTAGTACCTCCCTTTCCTATTGCATACATATCCCTAGCTCATCCCCCTCATGTTACGTGTATACCTCTAGTAGAACCCCTTCCTATTAATGTATGTGCTTACCGTGGCTTACATGCCCGAGATTATATATGCTTATGAGCGAATACATTACTGCCTCATTCTGGTTCCAGTCGCCATGGAAGAGGGGAGCCCTTGCATGCCTTATTTGACATCTCTTTAATTTATCCCTCAATTACACAATCGCCCCTTAGGACCCAACCAGATGTGGGCTGGGTCCCACAGCTCCAGGAAATGACAGAAACCAACTGAAAGTGCTTCAAGCAGCTGATGAAGCACTGGAAGCATTCCCTCATCTGGACAAGAATTTTGGAAGACAGCTACCTGGTCAAGGGACAGAGAGTCATATTTGTGCCCATCCTAAAGAAGACTCAAAAGAATGTGGAAAATATAAAGCAATATTATTAATATCACATGCAAGTAAAATTTTGCCGAAGATAATTCAACAATCGTACAGTCTATCCACAAAATGTTGCCAGAAATTCAAGCTATGTGCAGAAGAGGATCTACCACAAGGGTTGTCATTGCTGACATCAGTTGGATTTTGGCTGAAAGCAGTACCAGAAAGGTGTTTACTTATATTTTATTGCTTATATAAAAGCATTCTGTGTGGATCATGGGGAGCCCTCGTGGCATATTGGTTAAACATTGGACTGCTAACCACAAAATCAGCAGTTCGAAACCATCGACTGCTCCGAAGAAGAAAAATGAGGCTTTCTATTTCTGTAAACAGTTACAATCTCAGAAAAACCACAGGGGCAGTTTTGTTCTATTCTGACCATGAGTCAGAATTGACTGGATGGAAGTTAGTATCATAACAAGCGATAATATTGTGAAGAATGGGAATTCCAGACCTGTACATGGACCAAGAGGCAATTATATGAAGAGAACAAGGGAATCCTGCAGTTTTATATTAGGAAAGTGTGTTCACTATACATATTCAATCTACGTTGAGCAAATAATCCAAGAAGCTGGACTATAAGAAGTCCGTACGGATGACACAACATTGCTTGCTGACAATAGAGACTTGAGGCACTGGCTGATGAAGAGCAAGGATTTTAGCCTTCAGTATGGATTGCAACTCAATGTAAAGAAAACGAAAATCAGCGGGGCCCATAGAGAAGAGAAAACTATTGAAGTCATGGATGAGTCCACACTCAATGCTCATAGAATAACAGTCAAAAATCTAATGGTGTATTGCATTGGGCAAATCTGCACAAGACCTTTTCAAAGTGTTGAAGTGCAAGAATGGCCCGTTGAGACAAAGATATGCCTGACTTAAGCCATACTATTTCCAATTGCCTCGTGTCCATGTGAAAGCTAGGAAGACCACAGAATTGATGCCTTTGAATTGCACTGCTGGATTGGTGACTATTGGAAGTACCATGAACTATCAGAAGAACAAACAAACCTGACAAATTTCAAGGGCAGGAGACAGATCCCTCTCTACGGGAAACTGACAAAATAGAAGAACACCTGTGTCCATCCTGAGCAAATCTGCCACACATGGCATGGATTTTGGAACTAAATGGATTCAAGAAAGCAAAGTAGAAGTTGCTGTGTCTTTCATGATAACTTCAGATGTCAGACTCGGTTATTTTTGCAATGCCCTGTTGGTTACACAACTCAAATTACTATTCAATGTGGGAAGGTGATGCTATTGGGTAAGTATTGGACTGCTAACCTTAGGGTTGGTGGTTCAAAACCTATGGCCTCAGAAATCCTATATCGAGTCATTATGAGTAGGAATCAGCTACACGGCAGTGAGTTTGTATTCGGGGTTTTATTTGGTGTGAAAGGAGTCATACAACACCAAGAGGTGGAAATCAGTGGCTATCATGTTGACCATGATAACGGTGTGAATTTCTGGACTTTGAAGGCAGGGATGAAAATTGCCACCTTGGGGGAAGGCAGTTCATGTTTCCTAGTTATAGGCTTGGAATCAACTTGATGACGATGGGTTTGGGTTATTGCACTGGGCAAATCTGCTGTAAAAGAACTCTTTACTGTATGAGAGCAGAAATGT